CAAACTCTTAGCAACACTTGGATTGTAGCAGAGGCATGGCTAACATCACCATATGCTAGAAAAAAGCACTGGTGTGTCTGAAGATTAATTATCTGATCGAATTACATCACTCGCATTGTCAGCAACAGCTGACGAAAGAATGTGAACATTAGCCAGAATAGTGTTGGCGAGCTCTTTTGTTAAATAGTATGGATGAAATCTCACAGTTTGATATCCTTCAATAGCATGTCCTGGCTTCCCCCCTGTGTGTTACTGCCGAGCTCTCTTTACATATCTCTCTGTTTGTAATGTCAGTAAGCTGAGCAGAGAGGCAACATGATCCTATAAACTAGTAAGCTGTTAGTTTTCTCTTAGTTAATTATGTTAAATTACTTTTCTTCCAGTCATTCCTTTGTTGATGTTCCTCTGCCAGTGTGGAAGTGCGGCTAAATATAAGGACCTCTTTACTGATGTGCCTTATTCTACAAAATCTCATCTCATTCACTATGACACTGAAGGCCCCGGAGACAATGTGGTGAGACAAACATTTTTAGATATTTTTGAAAGATATTTATGATCTAAGTTAAAGATATGGGGGGGTGGCGTAGTGGTTAGGGCATAGACCTTGGAATCCTGAGATTCTGAGTTTGAGCCCCACTCCCACAGACTGCCACTCTGGGTCCCTGAATAAGACCCTTAACCCCACACTGCTCCCCGGGTGCCACACAATGGCAGCCCACTGCTCCCAAGGGGAGGGGTTAAATGAAGAGTGAATTTCTCAAATGTGAGATCAATAACATTACATTATTATTAGTGTTGCACCGATACTAGTATCAGGCGGGCCCTGATCCAGCACTGCAATGGTGGTATCGGTATCGCGAGTACCAACAAATAGGGCACCGATACCATTTTAAGAGCCAAAAGTCTCTTCAACTATTGTCACCCATTCCTGGTAGGCAATAAAAAGTTCTACTGGATTCACTTTGTATTAGTCTGTTTCCTGCTTCACAAAGGTAGGCAGCAGCTTGACAAAGCCATGATGGCAATTATTTTACATCCAAGTAGTCTGCAGTTCTTCATAGATACACACACATCAATTTCAAACAAATGGTATCGGTATCGGCTCATACTGTACAGCCAAGTATCGGGTATCAGGGCCAATAAATGGCATCGGTGTAACACTAATTATTATTATTATTACCTGATTTGACAGAAAACATAAAGATTTTGCTCCAATAATTGTTGCGTTGATCTTTTGCAGGAAGCTGCTGCTTTGCTGACCTTACCAACACAGAATATAAAGGGTGTGGATCTACAATATGTAGAAGCTCTGCCAGGGGCTGGATTTGAAATGCAGCAATCAGTGGCTTCCATGAATCAGGGCATGTTCCAAGGTGTGTCCTCAAATGGCTTCA